AGCGCTTTAAATGTGTACTTAGAAAGTATAATACAGCAAAACATAATAGCCATTGAAAAACACATCATAGCAAAACCCAAAACGCTACACGATTATTTTCTATAGCAAACAATTTTTGCTATAATAGGTGCACAATTCGGGTACGACAATGTCATAAAACAATATCCAACAACACAATTTATGTGTCATTATAAAATATTAAACAGCACTATATTATTGTCATAAAAAAAGTAAAGTAAATGATGGCACGGAATAAGTGCTAGAATAATTTATCCAATAGCACACTAATATCGCTATAATAGGTTCACCTACTGCAGCGTATTTAAAAATACTATGATGGGGGGGGGGGGGGGGGGGGGGGGTCTACTATAGCTCCTCGTGTCTTAGCGTTTATGAAAACGCTACGAAAGCTCTATGCTAGCGTTTTTGGTGTGCTACTAATGGCGATATTTCTTGTAGTGGCGGATGCCTAGAGATCGATCAGGAAATCGTGAAAACGCTACGAAAGCTCTATGCTAGCGTTTTTGGTGTGCTACTAATGGCGATATTTCTTGTAGTGGCGGATGCCTAGAGATCGATCAGGAAATCGAGAAGATCACTCGATCCAGGACAGCAATCAACTAGAAGATCGAGGAGGCTGGTCGATCAAGGAATGAGAACGATGAGAAGATCGAGAGAAGTCAATCGATCAGTCCAGAGAACGAGACGGGGAATCGATCTCCTGCTCGATCCACATCAAATCGAGCAGGCGAATCGAGTGAAGTTACTCGATCCAGTTGCATTCTTGTTTCCTGGGAATGTATTCTTCTGATTATTGGTGTTGTAGCCTCTGTTCCACTGCTGATTTCCAAACCTTTGGTTCTGAAAACCTCCATTGATGAAATTAACATCTTTTTGCTCAAATTCTTCAGAATTTTTGAAACTCTCCACTTCTGCAGCAAACTGGACTGATTTTTTTCCTGCCAAAAGGTTGTGCATACTGTCAAACTTAGTCTTAACCTCAGCTATTTGGTTTCCTTCATTCAAACCACCCTGTTTCATTCTCTGAAAATCTGCATTCTTGGTGCTGTTGCTGCAGGCCAAGTTTTTAATCAATCTGATTGCTTCTTCTGGTCTGTTGGTGTTGAAGTTTCCAGCACTAGCTGCATCCAGCGCCATCTGGTATTTCCAGTCAATGCCTCTGAAGAAGATCCCAAGTAGTTGCACCTGACTGAAGCCATGATGAGGACAATCCCTTTGGTAAGACTTGAATCTTATCCAAGAAGCCTTAAAAGCTTCAGTAGGTCCTTGTGTAAATGATGCAATTTTCGTCCTCATGTCTTCTGAACTTGCATCATCATAGAAGTTGTTCAGAAAAGCATTCTTAGTATCTTCCCAAGTGGTCAGTGAAGCAGGTTCCAGTTGTTTCAGCCAATATTCAGCCTCTCCTCCAAGAGAGTAAGGTAAAAGCTTGCAGAACAGAAAGTCATTAGTGACTCCATTGGCTTTGACACTTGAAGCCAAATCCTCAAACCTCTCAATGTGATCCATAGGATGCTCAACCAGCTGATAGTAGACAGGTTTAAGCTCAAAATCGTTTCTCTAGAATGCAGGAGGGCGGATTGCAGCTCTGTTGGCATAGAACTGATCAGGTCTGTTGTAGTCACCTAAAGTCCTCTGCACAAAACGCCCAGCAGCGATATCAGCAGCAGCAGGGACTCCAACATCTTATCCGACTTGTTGAACCTGCTGTTCAACAATGACATTCCCATCTTGATCAATCATCTGCCCCTCTTTGTTCCTCTTGTTTCCTTCTCTGTCAACCAAGTGACCTTCTGCATCTTCAACCAAGATAAGTGGAGCGATCATTGTAGATTGCTTCTTAGCTTTCCTAATATTCCTTTCCTACTTAGCTAGCTCGTCAATGCCTAAGGTCAAAAGCTCCTTCTCTTTGTTGCTTCTGGTACAGCGATTAGGCAGCTCAAAGAAAAGAAACTGAAAGTTAGTAAACAAATTAAAACTTAAACAAAATCCTAAAACTAAAAATCGACAGGCAGCTATTACTCCCCGGCAATGACGCCAAAAACTTGATAGGGCTCAAGTTTTACCCAAATAAAAACTACTGCAAGTGCACAGCAAAACAGTTGTAGTATAAGAGGTATTGAATCCCAAAGGAGTATGTAAACTATACTAAAGAGTTCAGCTTCGGATTAAGCTAAGCAATAAATAATGAATGTAATGCAAATTAACTAAAGTAATAAAAGCAAGTGGGCGTTTTTGAGACTGTTCTTAAAATTCAGAAAGCTAAAGGCGCTAAGTCAGGACAATTCGCAGGTTGAATCCGAGAGTGTAGAATGCATGCAATCAGGAATGAATAAGAACCTTCTTGAACATGAATCGCAAAGATATAACTAATCAATTCTCATTGCAGAAGTTAACTATGCCTAAATCACAGAGTTTCAAATCTTTTTGCAAACCCTAACAACCTAAACATGCAGTAATGATCAGGTTCAATTGTTCACAAAACTTCTAAGCCAAATATCTTTGCAATTAAGTGTTTTTCTTATCTAATACTAGTTCAGGTGATTAATAATGCTCTCACGTCTATCAAACAACCTAAGGTTTCGAAATCCAGATGATGTGTCTAGGAAATCGATATAAATGCAAGCACAGATGAAGAACCAATGGATTTCCTATAAGTTTTGCAATTCTACAAACTCTTCTTCAGCCATTGAAAAGCCCTAACTTAACTAACAAACTACTGAGACATGGTGATTTGAGAAAACATCATGATTAGAATATATTGCATAAAATAAATAAGAAATATAAGTAAAGTAGTTCAAAATCTGCTCTAAAGGAGTCTGATTTGTCTCTCCAAAAGCTCTGCTACAAATCTCTCTCTAAAGCTCTCTAGAATAATAAGATACAAGATAAAAGCCAACAATGGCTGAAAAACCTAATACATAGAGGCTAAACATGATCTGGGGCCTTCTTGCAAATACTAGAACTTTTGGGCCAATTCTGTAAATAGTCTTCATACTTTTAATAAATCAGGCCACGCTACTTCCTTGGTGGGTGACGAGCGTCACCGAAACGCATACTTTCTTTTCCGAGCTAGACACTTCGTGGTTTCAACTTGCAATGCTCCAAAAAGCTTCAATATCCCCAATTATACTCCAGACATGCTATAACCTGCAAAGACTCTTCTAGGACTCTAAAAAGACAAAAAGGACTCAATAAAAAGGACTTATATCATGGTTAAAAATCATAAAAACCATGATATATCATTCCCTTAGATCAAACTTCATATTTTTTACCATAAACATTAGCCCAAGCTTAGCCTCGCCTGGAGTTACACTGACTGGTGTAGCAACGCTTGGTGTAACCATCTCCGATGTGGATGACTCTTCCGTTGCATATGCTTCCTTCAGAACTGATCTTAAACCTTGTATCTTTAGCTGACCAAGATACATGTACTTCCACATCCCAAAGTCTACTTTCCCGTCGAATTTCTCCATCTCGGACTTTCCCTGTGTTGGCTCCATTGCAACCTAATGGTTTTCTTCTCTTGTTATCTGCAGAACAACAAGAAGAAGATAGGCATATTCAGTAGCTATCAAGTGTCAACACAATGTACGGAAACAATAAGAGAATCTTTGAAAAACGTATAGAGTTTCTGTGAATCGTAAAGCAATGTTTTAATAGATCGAGATACTCCCTGAGATCTGTGAATCTATTAGAGGTAGATCCTCCTGGAGCTGGCGAGATTCACTTCACTATCGAGTCGTGAAGCTTCGCGGTCTCCTTCTACTCCCTTTCAGTAATTCCTGATCTTCGTCTTGATCTTCTCCACCACGAACCGTGAGTTGCCTTCGTTGTATCTCCTCGGACGTCAAACCTGATGCTCTGATACCACTTGTAGCCGATACGCACACAAAATCGTCTCTTCACATCCATGTTAGAATCGATCTCTCTCTCTCAACTCTCCCTCTTACTCGTTTGGTTTGCTTAGCATGCAAGAAAGTAAGTGATAAACTCTTGAGTTCCCCGTATATCTCTCTTCAGTATCTGATTCCTGAAATTCACTATCTCTTTGTGTTTACAAAGTTACAGAGCTCGAGATTACAACAATGGAAGTCAAAAATGGATCAAAGAAGAAGAAAAAGACTCGTTGACCGTAACAACCTCTTCTCCCTATCCACATATATATACTCAGCTAATATGGGCCTAACGATGCTAACCCGACCCAACGCTGCAACATGTAACAACGCTCCTTCTCTTTGGGCTTGACTTCACAAAGCCCAACTGCCCAGCTCTCTCTGGACGACGTCGTCTCGAACCTGAGACTTAAGTCAGCTTACGAGCTAAAACCAAATCGTCACAAGGTTTCCCTGAACCGGTTAGTTTCAACTTCATATAGTCTCTACGACTCCATCTCATTATGTAATCTTTCTGAATTCATTCGACTATTCCTAAATTTTATGCTCACTTGGTTTTGATTCTGCCGTTTTAATTAGAAGAAAAACTCAAATAATATTTTAATTACAAAAATCGAGCTATATATGGTTTACAGAGATTTTGCTACTGTTTCTATTATCAAGCAGTAGTAAACTAAAAATAGTTCACTGTGTTAGTCTTTAATCTTTTGATTATTTTTCGGCTTATATTTGATTCCGTATTTTGGTATATATTTGTACCCTGAGCCATATTGTTGCATAGTGTTATATTGTTGCTTCTGTTTCTCATATTGATTAGTCTTCCTCCATGTTCATTTCTTAACCATGCATATTCTCGTTAAAAAGAGATAACATGAAACGATTTTGGTGAGGAAGGGGAAGATCTCAGAAATAACAAAGACAGTTCTGGTGGCACTTCAAGACGTGCTTGAGTCCAAGGACAAGTCTGAAATTGGAGCTTTCTCTTCTCTAGGCCATCTTCTTAATGAGGTGGAGCTTCTTAAATTGACTTTTTATTATCAAATCTGCAAATCTATATGTGCTGAGATCAGTTCGTGTTTCCAGGTTTTTGAAGTTGTTGTAGAGCAAAAGCTTCGGCAGCCCAGATTTGTTTTGGACTACCCAATTGAAATATCTCCCTTGGCCAAGCCACGTCTCAGGTAAAGAAGTTGTTTCCTGGAAATGACTCGATTGGTTTTACCTGTTTTCTTTGTCTGCTACAGCAATGCAGGTCTGACTGAAAGATTCGATCTATTCATCTGTGGCCGTGAAATGGCAAACGCATTCTCTGAATTAACTGATCCCGTGGACCAGGTAATGCGGCTAATGATGTCTTTTACATGATCTGTCTATTAGCCATCTATGTGATCATAAAAAATGGTGATTGATTAAATAAATATGGTAGAGGACGCAGTTGGAAAAGCAGCATAACGCAAAGAGAGCAGCGGCTGCAACAGAAAGTAGTGAACCAAACGCAACGAAAGATGATGATGATGATTCATACGAGGTAACCCTTGACAAAGACTTTCTCACTGCCCTAGAATACGGAATGCCTCCTGCTTCGAGAATGGTACTTATATATCTATTCTTCCTTCTGCTATACAATTAAAGTAATTTGCAGAATCAAAAACATGACCTTAATTCTATATTCAAGTAAGTACTTATTATTGTATCTTGTTATCTGTTAGGGGCTTGGAATTGATAGGCTGGTGTTGCTGTTGACCAACTCTGAGAGTATAAAAGACGCCATTGCATTTCCTGTTCTGAAAGTTCAGCAGTAACACTTGGGAGGATCTCTACCTGAGGATTGCAACTGAGCTTCACCTGAAAAGGATCTCTTGTCCGTTCTGTCTTTCTTTTATTAACGTTTTTTATTACTTTAATATAATGATTTACTGAAATGTTATGAATTTTATTATACCGCCTTAAACTTTTCCAAGTGAGTCTCAAATTTCATTAAACGTTTAATGTTTTGCTAAAATTTCCTCCATTGAGAGGCCCTAAAAAAATATCAAAAATATTTAGTCATTTTTCACTTTCTAACAAAACCATTCTTTCGTCACTTTCTTTTTATTAGAGCCATTGGTTGCTTTCCATTTCTACAAAATTCTGGATTCTTAGAAGTTAATATAGAGTTGAACTGTTTCTTGGTATAAGCACTCAGATCTCTTTTGTTTTGAACTTTTGTTTAATTGCGTCTTGAAATTTTCTAGGTTTCCACTTCTATAGATAGTATTCAGGTCAATTTAGAAATTGCTCTCTTGGATCTGATTTAGATGAGGTGTCAATATTCCTCTCTTGAAATCATATTGATTGCTCTATTGATATTCAATACATAGATCAATTTTCATCTTTGTTTTTATGAATCTATTACCAATGAAATTGCTTCTCTTCAATCCATATTGAACACTCTGAGGTAGTAATTTTCATATGTTTATAGTGCAGGAGCCATATTTAAATCGTACAACTTTACCCTTGCTGCATCCTGCTCGTCAAAATAGAGCTAAATGGTATAATTTGTTTTCTTTAATCTCATTCCTTGTTTTCCAATTGTTACCTTCACAGATTTATAACTAACAAAGTAATTTTTTTTCTAATGGGATAGGTTTAAACATCATACCAAGTATCAACTGAAAGGTGATTCAAAGCTGTTTTAAAGGACTATGGTATTTCTAGAAACGAGCGCATTCCTTGTACAAAAGAACACGGTTTAATCTGATTATGGTATTCTTTCTGATTTTGACCCAAAAAATAAAGTTCTCTTTCTGTTATATTTCATAAAGCACTTTTAATGTTAGTATTTTACTCATTTTATCTGATGTATTTTCTTTTCCAGAGAAAATTTAACTGGCATCCTACTATCAACAAAGTTTAAGAAGCTTGGTGTTTATCGCCTCCGAGGAATAATAACCCATACAAGTGAATTTTGGCTGAAGATTAGACATTATGCAAGTGTGTTGGGCAACAGCAAAAGGAAAAGGAAACAGTGACAGGACACGTACTTCTCGAATCTCTGATCGCAATGGTCTACCACCAAGACAATTTATCATCCACCGTCTATCCAATTTAGTAATTTTAGTTTCTATTTATCTTAAGTTATTTTTTAGTTTTAAATTTGTTAAGAACTTTTTTCTTTAGATTTCGTTTGTGTATTAGCATTGATCTGATATTGAATGTTAGTTTTTTAAGTAATATTAATATTTGTTTATTATATTTAACTTTTGCTGTTTGACTAAAATTAACTAAAAATATTTGGTAATAGTTTGTGATTAAATTTTAATGGTTTTCACAATTTGAATTATGTAATATTTTATAATCGAGTTCAGTAAGAAAAAGTCATAATACAAATAAAATTATAACAATTGTGTGATTATGATGTAGATACTAATTGTGGCGGGTTTGTGATAGTATTATGGTTATTAACTGTATTATTTTTGTGACTACAATTTAGTTACTAGTTATAAAAAAGTTTGTGAAATTATTTTGGTTACTATTTATAGCGAATTAGTGATTTAAAAATAGTAAGAATTTGTGGTAAATATGTGACAATTTTTTATCTGCACATAACCTTGCTATTTCGGAAAGTACGTTAATATTATGGATAAACAAGCTTCTTCTTGAAAATTTTGCACATCTGTTTCCTACTGAGTTGCCTGAGGGTCCCCCCCCCCCCCCCCCCCCCCCCCCCCCCCCCATTTCGTGTTATCCAACACCAAAATGATTTGTTTCCTGGTGCTTCTCTTCCTTCTTCTCTTCCCAATCAGCTGCATTATAGAATGAACCTGCATGAGTAGTTATGACAACAGGTTCAGGATTTGATTTCCAAAGGATATATGGATGAGAGCGTAAGTCCTTGCACGGTTCCAGCTATGCTCATACCCAATAAAGTTGGCTCTTGGTGAATGTGTGTGGATAGTCGAGTCATTAACAAGATTACAGTTATATATTGTTTTCAGATTCCTCGCTTAGATGATTTACTTGATCAGGTTGAAAAGGCAACCATTTTTTCAAAATTGGATTTAAAGAGTGGGTATCATCAAATTAGTCTACATCCAGGAGATGAGTGAAAGATGGCTATCAAAACTCACAAGGGTCTATTTGAATGGTTAGTAATGCCATTTGGATTGTGTCAAGTAATTTTATTTGGTGATGAACCAAGCTTTGCGGCCTTACATAGGCAAGTTTGTGGTGGTGTATTATGATGAAATATTGATTTTCAGTTCCACAATCGAAGATCATTAGCATCATCTTTGCCAAATTTTGATCGTCTTACACCGAAAGACTTTTTTTATTGCTAAACAGAAATATGAATTTGGTGTGCTCTTTCTCGGCTATATTGTGTCTTCCAACGGTTTTTCAATGGATGAGTGTAAGGTTGCAGCTGTTCGATCTTGGCTGGAACCTTGCACCATCATTGAAAATCGAAGTTTTCACTGTTTGCCATATTTTTACCAGTGTTTTTTGGCTCACTTCTGTACAATTTATGGCTTCATTAACAGACTGTATGAAGGCGAAGCAGTTCTTATGGATGGATGAAGCTTGTGACGCTTTTCAGCTCATCAAACACAAGCTTACTTCAGCGCCTATTTGGTCCTTCCAGACATTGATTTACCTTTTTAACTCCATTGTGATGCGTCTAAGCTGGGAATTGGAGCGGTTCTATGTCATAAAAACATGCATATGGTGTACTTTAGTGAGAAATTATCAGGAGCTTGCAGTTGTTACAGCACATAAGAAATTGAATTTTACGTTATGGTCCAACCCATCAAACATTGGTGATATTATCTAGTCCATCGCGACTTTCTTTTGTTCACCGATCATGATACTCTCAAGCATCTTGATAGTCAGGTAAAGGTCTAAGCTAGGCATGCTTCATGGATTGTCTACTTACAGCAATTCACGTTTTAATATGACACATGACATGGAAGCTGAATCGTGTGGCCGATGCACTGAGTAGACCGTATAATTTTTTAACTGCTCTGCATGTGGGGGTACCAGGTTTTGCATCTTTTTTGAGCTTATATGAGTGATCCATTCTTTAGTGTGATCTTTAAGGCAGTCCAAGAAGGTTCTCGTGATGACTTCACCCTCATGTATGTGTTTCTCTCTTTCAAGGTGTGCGTCTTTGTGTCCCTGATTACAGTTTAAAGTTGTGTATGATTGAAGAGCTTCACTCTGAAGGACATGCTGGCCGCGATCGCGCACTCCAGCTTGTTTCCGCTTCTTATTATTGGCCTACCCCTCAACGTGATGTGGAGAGATTTATTGAACATTTTTTGCGATTGTCAACTCGGCAAAGGTCATGCTTCCGATGCTGGTTTGTATCTTCATTTGCCTATACCGACTCATCCATGGATAGATGATATATCATAGTTTTTATGGTTTTTAACCATGATATAAGTCATTTTTATTGAGTCTTTTTGGTCTTTTTATAATCCTAGTAGAATCTTTAGAGGTTATTGCATGTTTGGAGCATAATTGGAGATCTTGGAGCATTTTGGATTAAGAAATAGTTCTTCCCGCATGAAGCAACAAGGACCGTGATATTGCACTGGTGAGGATCGTCACTCACTGTTTGGTGACGCTTGTCACCCATATCTGAGAAGCATTGCGCGGTTTATTAAAAGATGAAGGAAAAATTAGAATTTTGGCTCAGAAGTTCCACTATTTGCAAATATGTCCCATTTGTATTTTAGACTGTATATTAGGTTTTTTTTTGCCATTCATTGGCTGTTATCTGATTTTTTAAAGAGCTTTTGAAAGAGATTGATTTCAGAGCATTGAGGGAGACAAATCCTTTACTCTTTTAGAAAAGATTTCGAACCCTTGTATCTCTACTCTTTTCTTTTTTTAATACAGTATTATTCAATTTTGTTTTGTGAATTCATATCCATGTCTGAGTAATCTGCATGTTAGGTTAGGATGATTTAAAGGCTGATAAAGAGTTTGTAGAATTTTTAAACTATTAGAAAAATCATTTGGTTCTTCATTTGGACTTACATTCAATTCGAATTTAGGACTGATCATATATAAATTGCACATTAGGTTGTTTAATAGATGTGAGAACATTGTTAATCACCTGAACTAGTTTTTGATGAGCAAAATTATTATCTGCAAAGAGATTTGATTTAGGAATTTTGTGAACAATCGAACCTGATCATTACTACTTGTTTAAATTGTTAGAATTTGCAAAGAGATTTGAAATTCTAGAACTTAGGCATAGATAATTTCTGCAATGAGAACTGATTAGTTATAAATTAGTGTTTCGAGTTCTAAACAGTTTTAAATATATCCTCATTGCATGCATTCTACATTTTTCGATTCAACCTGTGAAATATCCTGGCCTCGCGTTTTTAGCTCTATGAACTTTAGAAACAATCATCAAATCGCCTGCTTTTATTTATTTCGTTATTTCGCTTTTAATTCACTCATTATCACTTAACATAATCTGAATCTAAAATTTGTAGTGTAGTAGCTTACTCTCTTGGGATTCGATAACACTTTGTGCTACAACTGCATTGCTGTGCACTTGCAGTAGTACTTTAAATTGGGTAAAACTAGACCCCTATCAATAGATTTGAGCATGGATTTTATCTTAGATCTTCTGTGTTCACAGCGAGGCAATGATTCTATCTTTGTTGTCGTTGATCGTTTTTCAAGGATGGCTCATTTTGTTTTGTGTAAGAAAACAATAGATGCAGTGTGTGTGGCACAACTCTTCTTCCATGAGGTTTATCGAATTCACGGCTTACCTACATCAACTGTGTCAGATAAGCATACA